AAGTACAGTAGCAACCTCAAAGGTACTCTGCATCCTGTGTCCAGGTCTTATTCACAGCACTCACTTTCTAGTAAAGGAGAGGATTATGACTATTCACCGACTAAATGACTAGGAGAGACTTTAGATTTATTTCATTTTGTTCTTGAAGTCAGTCTTTGAGATAATTATTATCATTCATATTTTACAGACAAGAAAATTGAGACTCTTAAAAAGGTCCAATAAAGTATGAAAGGTTTTGGTCTTCCCTGTGAGCTCTCTTATCCTAAAAATAGACAGTGTTTAACAAATTATTTCTGGTGAATATTTACTAATGATTTTGTTTCACTGAGGGTTGGGACTAGGCTTCTGGGTACTCCCAGGGCTTGGCAAGGGATGGAGCCCTTAGCACCCAGTGATGCACTAATGAATTAGATGATGTGTCAAACATTATTAAAAGTGGAGCCTATATTCTGAAATTATAGCTCTGCAGCTCAAGATGAAGAATATGGTAGCAATTTATGGTAAAAGAGAACAAGAGAGAAACTTTAAAAAAAAGTCATAATGGTCTCTACAGGAAAGTTCGAGGGAGCACATTTCTGTGTTAACCCTAAGTGTAGTCCATGCACTGGCAGCACCTGATACCATATTAGAAATGTAGAATCTCAAGCCACATCCTAGGCTAACTGACTCAGGCTCTGTGTTTTAACAAGATCTCCCAGTGACTCCTATGCACTTCAAAGTTTGAGTAGCCCTCCAGGAATGACCTGATTCTCCATCTCCTGCCCCATCTAGCACCAACTTCTCTAACTGACCATTAGGGCCAAGGGATTCACAGAGCAGCAGACCTGTCCTTGTCTGACCACTGCTCAGCAGCCTGGCCATGCAACCCCAAGTGTTCAGAGTAGCCCTTCACAGGTGTCGCCAATGTGATGCTCAACTCTCCCCTCTCCATATGGAGGCAAACCTGGTGTGAGTCGAACATCGCCACTGTTAACATCTTCGTTCTTGGATGAACATGGCCCTGGAGTGTTACCTTGATGTACACCTTTTTCAAGTTATAATTTCTAGGTATCTCTTAACACCTGGGAAAGTGTTAGCTTCCTCTGGTTCTTCCAGTGATAACTGCATTTGTTGTTTCCCCTAAATTATTTGTATCCTGATCAACTTTTGTTGATTACCTTATCAACTGATAAGCGAGGATTTCCATCAATTATTTTTATTATATTATTATTACAATGATGAGTTATCTTTTCCAATAAAGACTATACATTGAAAATATTAAATGAATGTATTTTTATTTCTTTTAAAACCGTCATCCTTCAGTTCTTTTACATAATATTTTGACCAAAGGCAAAAGAGGATGAATGAGTCAATGAATGAATGAATGACATTGTTTCTTTAGCAGGGTAGTAAGTTTGGATTCAGTTGGGCACAGAAAGTAGATTTTTTTCTGAATTCTTTTTTGCATATTAGGATGGTGATGGCAAAAACTTTTAGAGACCAAGTGCCCAAACTGCAACCCCAAACCCACTTATTTATCTTTAAGTGGCAACACTGCAATTAAACCTGAGGTTTTAATAATAAAAAAAAACTGTTATCCAATGCTCAGGGGCTGGGACAACTTGGCTCATGTGCTCTTAAAGAACTGGGAGTTGCAGAGTGGAGAGAGATGGGTAGATGGGGTGGAGGGATCAAGCATGTGTCTTTCTTCATCTATCTTGGAAACAGCACTTTTAGAAAGGAAAGAAACAAGAAACTGGGAAGAGAAACAATTCATTCATATGATAATATTAATGCCTACATTTAATGATCTGGCACTGCACTAATCGCTTCATATGTATCATTTTGCTCATTTTTCACAAGAGCCCCATTTATTATTTCATTCAACCCTCACGGGAAACCTGTTGTTTAGTTTTAGCAAATAAAGACTTGGAGATGTAGAAAAGACAAGCGACTGGTCCAATTTTTTTACAACTCACAAATGGTAAAACTAGGATTTTATGTCTAACTTAAGAGCCCAAGCCATTAACCATCATGCTGTAATGTTACTATCTGTAATAGCTGGTTAGAATTTAGATGAGTTCTCTGCTTAGGAGTCTCTATTTCCTTGAATCCTTTCTTCAGACTGCCACCAAAGAGATTCATCTGTGATACAAACCTGATTGTATCATTACTCCATTTAAAAAATGTTAAATGACTCCTTAGTATTTGCCTGAACAATAAAGTTAAAAGTCAACATGACACACATGTAGTGGAAGACACACTTTATGGACCCATTGGGAGGAACACTGGTACAGTGAACAGTTACCCTCCTCATTGTTCAGTTTCTCCTTCCATCACCCTTTGCATGATGGCATTTTTAAAAATCGTTTTTTATCATCTCCACAAATGGATTATTCAATTTAACCAAGTGTCAAACAGCCAGAACTGGGGCATGTGATCAGTACAACAATGTTGAACCCCTTGCTTAGAAGGAGTTGGGACTTAATGCTCTGTAGTTGGCATCTTGAAATCCTTAATTTTATCTCTGAATTGGTCTTTTTAAGAGAAGTATGATGAGACAGTGAAGCATGAGTCAAGGGCTTAAGCTTTGGCTCATGCCATTCAGCCTCTGCCCTTGTATTGGTCAGCTTTCCAGCTGCTGGGACAAGACACCCAACACCTGCAAATAAACAAGGAAAGGCTTCAGGATTTAGTCCACTGTCAGCTGGCTCCAAGGAAGGAACATCATGGCAGAAAGGTGTGGCAGAGGAAAGCTGCTCACGTCATGGCTGCCAGGGAGCAAAGGGAGCAAGGAAGAGCCAGAAAGGAGAAAGAGGCTGGAGACAGGATATCTTCAAAATCATGTCTCCAGTGACCTACTTTCTCCGACTGTACCCCACCTCCCAGTAGCCCATCCAGCTCCGAACTCATCAGTGGGTTACCTGTTGGCGGGATTAGTGCTCTCACAATCCAGTTGCTCTCCAGGAATCTCTTAATCCAATTGAGTTGATAGTCAAGATTAATCTGCATAGCACTCCCTCTTTGGGACAGGTTTTCATCTATGTGCCAAACCTGAGGACCTACCTGACCTCCTCTTCCTTGTTCCTGTCCCTTGACTGCTGCAGCAACTTGATCTTATTGGTGGGAAGTAGCTTGAGTTCTATTGTTACATTCTGCCAATCATGTAGGGTGGTCTGGGTACAGGCACAAAAACATTGAGAGTAGGCAGATGTCCTATTGCATCACAGGATACATCAAACTAATGCCTTTTGGGGCTGGTAATGTAACAGTGTGTTTAGGAAGCATTTCTGTAGAGCCCTCTTGCCCACTGCCAATCCAGTTACTGGGAGGCTGTAATGTTTTAGTGTGTACCTGTAGGTTGGATCAATAGGCCCTTAGAAAGGTAATATTTACTTATCCACCCCAGTTAGGGTTCCACATCTTTTTGAACTGAACTCTGCAAATTATGAAGTCTGCCCTGCCTTTGGTTCTTTGGTGTGTCTCTTTGAATACAGTGGAAATGTCAAGTCATAATAAAAATGTGACATTAATATTACCTCTAAGGGAGCTGAGTGCAAGACACTAACCATTTAATGAGTTTGAGCTTCTGGATTGACCTATGCTAATGTGTAATTTCATGCTTTTTTTGTATGGCAAGGGAAGTTTTTAAGAATTCACTTGATTACAAGATCAATGTGAAAATGCATTATCTGCCTGCCTTGAGCATGGCCAACTGTTGACCTCTTCAATTAAGTAGACTTGAGAATGAAAATTCAATTACAATGAACAAATGTTTCTTGAACACTTGCTATGTATAAGGTCTTATGCTAGGGAATATGCAAATGTGTGATATTTATTCCTCTCCTTGGGATGCTTGCAAGCAGTGGGAGGAGGCAAAGACACATGCATGGATGACTACAGTATCTCCTACTATCTTAACTTATGAAAGCATAGAAAATGAAATTTGTTAAGATGGACTGCTTATAGACACCTCCTCCTAGCAGGCATTAGTGGTTCCTTGCCATATGTCAATTTCCTTGCTTAGAAACTGAGCCTAGTTTTTTTCAGGCTTTATACTTTGAGAAAGATGGATCACCCCCCTCCCCACAGCAATAAATCTTGATTGTTTTAGCTCCTTCATCATACTCTTAGGACTCTTGTCAGTGATTAGTTTAGAGATGGTTGTGTGACTCAATTCTGGTCAATGAAACATAAGGGCAAGTTTCTGAGTTACTTCTGAAAAGGTTTTCTATCAGGAAAGAGCTTCCCGTAAGACTCTGAAGGTTACCATATCTGAGTGTAACTCCTGAAACTCCCACAGTCACTTTGTGCCTTTTATGGGCTGGTTTGAGGATGGCAGAGCCAAAGAAGGAGAGATCTTCTGTCGCTGAGCCCTCAGTCCTGCAACTCACTCTGCCCCTGAATGTCTGTGATATAAACTTCTATACTGATTAAGCTCTTTTCAGTCAAAATCTAGTGTTTTGGGCAATCAAGGACATAATTTAACCTCTGTAGAGACCTCCTGGTATATGACCTGAAGTTCCTCAGCCTGTGTGCCTTCAAACTCCACACAAGCCCTAGTTGGATAGCACAAGGTGTGGGCTGCCTCAGATCAGCCCCTGACCTCAGTCCCTGGCCAACTTGTTACAACTCTCTGTAGTTCTGGCCTTATGTCAATTATGATTGGATAATTTCATGAAAGATGGATATTTCCAACAGGTACTTCCATTGTCAGCTCTTTATGATACGTACAAGTTCATCAGAGTATTCCAGAGAAGCAGAACCAAGAGGCAACATCTCTATGTGTATCTATATGAATATCTGTATCTCCATAGGAAGAGATTTATTATGAGGAATTGACTCACACAATTGTGGAAGCTGAGAAGTCTCTCAATCTGCCATCTGGCAGGAAAGCCAATGATATAATTCTAGTTCACTCCCAGACATGAGAACCAGGACCCATAATAGTGTAAATCTCAGACCAATGACAGGAAGTGACCCATGTCCCAGATTAGTCAGGCTACTAGGAACCAAAAAGGGTAAATTCTCCCACCTTTTGTTTTATTCAAGCCTGCAATAAAATGGATGGTAGTGAAGGCAGTCTATTTTTACTAGTGTATTGGTTTAAATGCTAATTTCAACACACTCAGAACTAATGGTTACTGAGGGAAACTTCTCATCAGTCAAGTGGACACAAAATTAACCACTTCAGTGAATGACCTGTTTTGAGGTCACTTTTATATTTGCAAAAAAAACCCAGTAACATAATTTCCTCCAAAATACAATAAATTAACATTTTAAATAAGTAATCTACTTTGATTCCAAATAATTCTATAGATACAAGGTCGGAATAATTAGTAGTTACTAAGTCCCCCTACTGAAATAAACTTCACCCTATATTGCTTTATAGAAACATTAAGAACTTAAAATTTCAAAACTAAGGTAAAGATGATAAATATCAATTTTTATTGCTTACGTGACAATACATTACCTGAGTGATCAACCAAAAGGCAAGTTATCCCACCACACCCACCTTGTGACACATACCTCTCTCTAATCTGTTCTTTGTCAAAGTTACACCTTTATAAATGCTACAGATATTCAGGGTTTTTTTTTAAGATAGATAATATCAAGTTTTGATTCCTTAAAAGTGATGAATTCATCTCCTTTATCCACTTCTGTAGATTGCTAATGTCTTCTTAGAGTTTTGGGCTGAGAAAAACAGAGACCACATCAGGGTTCAGCAGGAAAGAATGCTGGGATTGATTATGCATGTCTGCCTGGGAGTGTGTGTTGGAGGCAATGGCCGCAGCCATGTTATTTCTGCAATCTGAGGTTTATAGTTTCTGCGTACCATTCTTGAATGGCAATTTGAGCAGTGTCAGGTCTGATTTCATAGTTCTAGCTATTCTAACCTTCAAAATAAATTTATTTAACCTAGGTACATTTACTGAACACCTTTAATGCATTAGACATACTGTTAGGCCTTGTGGGAAATTAACAAAAGGATACGGGCATGGATCTAATCCATAAAGAACTTGAAGTCTAGCAAAGAAAAAGATGTATATGTCAGCATATGAAGGCATAAAATACTACAAGGAAGGACTAGATAAGGGAAGGATCCAAGGCTGTATCAAAGGTGAAAGAGTACTTTCGGTGAGTGTAGAAGGTGGTCTGCAAAGCATGCTGGTGAGGGTGTACTGCAAGCGAGTCTTGCTGTGATATAAGATTGTTCACATGGATGGAAAGGGAAGACTATTTCAAACTGAGTGACCAGAATGAGCAAAGCACCAGAGTGGAAAGCTTAAAGCTCTGGGTGACTGACTGACTGACTGATGAGAATATATAGTTGCTATTTATTCGTTTTCCCTACAGAGTGAACAGGTAGCCTGGTGAGCTTCACTGGACTGTTGTGCTGATGTGATATCCATTTTTATAAGGGCTATTTGGGCCTTTGCTCTTTGGAAAGATCGTCTTTCATCACCATTTGATGTGTGACACAAAACAAATGTCTTACAGGAAAGGAGAGGCCCCGCTGCCACCTCACACTATACATTTTTGCTGGAAACCTAAGAAAATTGACAAAGGCTTCATCTTCATTTTCTCAACAACATACAGACTCACCAAATATGGCCAGTGAAGAATATTCCTCATCTCATATCATTTCATGACATAAACAGGCAAACATTCTTAACACATGGTGACCTAGGAACTAATTGCCGAATTATTGAAAATATTGCCAAAAGTAGCAAATAGGAGATCACCCCTAACTTGTCCTTATGTCCATCTATATACACATACATATAAACATGAGGTAGTTTTTTGTCAAATTTTTTACAATACTTCAAAAATTAGAGAAGTGTATTTGTTTTGCTTGAATAATAATAGTACAGTAATCTCTTATTCATGGTTTTGCCTCCTGTGGTTTAAGTTATCTTTAGTCAACTGTGGTCTGAAAATATGAAATATAAAATTCAGTATTTTGAAAGGCCATATTCACATAACTTTAATTATGGTATATTGTTATAATTCTATTTTATGATTAGTTATTATTGTTAATCTCCAACTGTGCCTGATATAAATGAAACTTTATCATAGTACAGTACTTATGTGTGTATAAGAAAAACCATAATATTATCTATATAGGTTTCAGGCCTATCCATGATTTCAGGCATCTACTGAGGGTTTTGGAATGCATCACCCGCAAATAAGGGAGACTACTATAAGGAGCAAACAAAAACTTTAAGAAAACTATTTTTCAGGCACATGTATAAAGCCAGAAAGAGCCAGTCCAAAAGCACCAAAAAAGATTTGTCAATAAAATGTGGGATGCAAATTTTAGAGTTAGGGAATGAAAAAGAAATAAATAAACCAATAACTTTGAAATATTTAGGATGCATAGAAGATGAAGTATCAACTTGGATGTCGATGGACTTCAGAGACCTTCATTTTACTTATTGCTTGGCTTGTTATGGTCTTCTAAGCAAACCTAAAACAGAGAAGGTCATTCTGTGACAGTGAAGCAATGAATTTCTGGCCAGAGCCAAAGCTACAAGCAAGCAAATTTGGCTTTCGTGTTCTCTCTTTCTCTTCTTCTCCCCTTCCCCCTCTTCCCTTTTCCTATCCTAGTGCTTTTCCTGGAGTTTTTATGGGCAGCCTGAAATCTATTTTTGCTCACTATATTTAGTAAGTTTGATTATGCATACCCTAAATTCAGATCTGAGCCAATGATCCAGATTCTTTTCACTGAAGAAAGTTTTTCTTTTCTACAGGTTTATAGCAAAAGCTAAGCTCTAACTTACTTTTTTGTAGGTCAATGGGCTCCTTTTGCCTCAGGCCTTTGCCTTAACCATTCTCTTCTGGAAGCCTTTGCATATTAACCTGCCTTCCTGACCTGTCTGTCCCTGCTCAGAGGCCAGCTGTTTTTCCAGAATGACACATAAATGGAATCAGGTAGTATGCAGTCTTTTGAATCTGGGTTCTTTTACTGAGTATAATGTATTTAAGACTCATACATACTGTTACAAGTATCAATACTTCATTTTTTTCATTATTATCGAATATTATTCCATTGTATGGATTGGCTATAGTTCATTTATTTCTTCTCCATTTAGAAGATATCTTAGTTGTTCTCAATTTGGGTGATTACAAATAAAGCCGAAATAAACATTCAGAGTTTCTAGAGTGAAGGCAGGTTTTCATTTCACTTGTGTCAGTACCTACAGGTGAGACTGCTGGGTCATATGATAAGTGAATGTTTACACAAGAAATTGTCAGGGTTCTCCAAAGTGGCTGTACCAGAGTCTCAGTAGCTCTGCATCTTCACTAGCACTTAGTAATAGCAGATTTTACTGATTATAAATGTGTAGTGTATCTCATTATGGTGTTAATTTACATTTCCCTAATGACTAATGAGGCTGCACTTATTTGCTATTATGTCATTTTTGGTGAAGTGTTTATTCAAATCTTTTAACTACCTCCCTCCCCTTTTTAATCATTAGGTTGTTTTCTTATTCTTGGGAGAGTATTATATACAAAATTGTTTCTATAGTCTGGATATAAGTTTTTTTCCAGCTTTTTGATTTCAAAATAGTTTCACCCAGTGTGTGACTTGTTTTCATTCTCTTAATGAGTCTTTCAAAGGTTTTAAGTTCTTAATTTTGTTGAAGTACAGTTTATCTTTTCCTTTTCATTAAGTTTTTGCAATCATATCTAAGAAATCTTTGTGTAACTCAAGGCCACAAAGATTTTCTCTCGTTTTTTTGCCTAAAAGTTTTATGTTTTTAGGTTTTACATTAAGACATATGGACTCTTTTCAGTTAAGTTTTGTAGATGGCATAAGATATGGATGAAAGTATTGTTTTGACTGTATACTGATATCCTAGCAGTACAGAATCATTTTTGAAAGACTTTCACTTCTCCATTGAATTCACTTTGCAGCTTTACCAATGGTCAAGTGGCAATGTTTATCAGGGTCTGTTTTTGACCTCTGTGATATTGATCTACCTATATATTCTTTTATCAGTACTGCAGGGCCTTGATGACTATAGCTTTATAGTAAAACTTGCAATCAAGTAGCTATTATCTTTTCACTACCTGAAATTATCTTATGGATTATTGGTTGGATTATACTATTAAATAATTATATATTGGTTATTTTTTGGATATCTGTCAGGAGACATCAAACTAGAAGACTCTTTAGAGTTATAAAACTGGGGAGTTTATATCTCTCATTCTCTGTTATTCTCCAGTACTAGGAAGAGTATCTGACACACAATAATGGCTTAATAAATTGGTAGGAACAAAGCAAGAAGTTAAGAAATGTTTAAGTTGAGGGAATTGAGAGAATTTAGTATTTGGTGGAAAGAAAGATCAAATTGTTTGTGAGAAGCTGTAAGGATAATAGAGGCTTGGCTTGTGATGCTGGGATGAAAAAGAATGCTGTTTTGGCCATAGCACTTAGATTACAAGATCAGTTCCTTTAGGGCCCATCAGGAGTTTAATGGAGCAACATTCATCCATTCACTCAATCATTTCTCAAAGATTTATTGGGCATTCATTGCATAGCACTGTGTTACCACAATCAGTAGGCAATGTCTTGTGCATAAAGTCTAAGGAGTCCCAGACAACTAATCAAGAGTCATCCAGGTGCCACCAAAGTGGTGTCTGAACAGGGCTCTTTGAGGGTTTTGATGTTTTAAGTTTCCTTGCAAAACTGAGGCCCATCTTAGCTTCAAAAGAGACACTTTGCAACAGTGCCTATACTGGAGTTTCCTTCTGGTGTTCTAAGACTGCACCAGCTGTTCCTATGTATAGGGCGCTGGTAGTGGGTGTTTTATGGATGAACTCTGCTCCAGGTCTCCCAGCAATGCATGCTTAGCACTCTCATGTCACTCACTGCGGTTATGGTGACAGCTTTCATTACCCTTCTAGCTACTTGGTCCTCATTTCCCTCCCACCACAGGGCAAGCTTCCCAGGACAAGGACTGTCTCCATCCTGCCACTCTGGTCTTCCTCCTGCCCCTCACAGTGCGAGCTCAGCCACACCCTAAGATGGACCACATGGGGCCTGAATTAGGAAGTGCTATTCTTGAGATTCTCAAGAAATCTTCTAAGTTTCCTTGAGCTTTCCCTTTTTCAGGAAGCAGTTTTGTCCTCTTGCTCAGTTTTCGGAGCAACTGTTAGCTCTTCATTTATTTTTAAACTTTAAAATAATTAATATTAGAAATAAATCGCACCCCCTAAACACCCAGAAACTTGTGCATTATGTCCAATGTTGGATGATCAATTTTAGTAATTAATCTGTTGATTTTGAGTTCCTAGCATGTTGCTAATATTTGGATGATATCTGGGATCAGCCAAAAGAAAAAAAACATGTGTCCTATGCTCTTGTATATTACCATGGCCATGGTACTCTAACAGTGGGCAAAACAAAAAGCAAATGGAGAAAAAATTATTTATTTTGGTTTTACATTACTTATAATTCCCCTGGGTAACAGCACTTTAGTTCTTCCCAACATATAACACACAAACTTGTGCATACACTCACACATTCATATACACACATACACACACACACTCATATGGGCACTTCTCTCAGTTTCTGTTATAGGAAATTGGAATCGAAAAGGGGGGCACAGGGCACAGGATATTTCTGTTGTTATACATTCAATTGAGCATCTACTCCATGCCAAGTTCATCAATGACTATACCATTTATTCCCATCTCCACTAAGACACTAAGGCCTAACCATCAGGAAAGGGTTCAGTATAGAATTATAATCAAGCTCTGGAATTTAAGCACTCTCTTCTGCTTAAATATGTCACTGCTCTGTGGGAGAAAGGGAAGAAACAAAGGCATATGCCCCTCATTCAACCTCTGCCCCATGTCATTCACCTTGAGTTATCATTAAACCTCTGACAAACTCTCCCTTTGGCCTTGGGGCCATGGTGCTCATGTGTTTCAAGCATGAAGCAGGACTGGGCCCTGGTCAGGTCCTTCTCTGAGTGATTTTCTGGTAAAAAGCCTTGTTTTCTAAGATGAAGGAGAGATAGGACTTAAGAGTCACTAGTTCTTATGGGTCTTGCATTCAAACAGTGAGTTTTCTAAAATCCTCCAAATATTCTTATTAGTTTTCAAAATCCAGATGTTCAGAATGAACTACAAAGCATTATCTATTTATCTTACTGGCAGAATTAGAGAGCAGAGAATAGGATGACAAGAGAAGAAGAAAAGAAACTAACAATTACAGCACATCAATGATGTACACTGTGAAGTCCTTGAACATGTTATTTAAATCCTTGCAATATATGCCCCCCCCCACACACACACTTTACAGATGAGATCAGCAAGGCCTAGGCAGGGTAAATAATTGGTCTTTGTGGTCAGCATGCAATCAGTCTATTCTCTGAGGCCAAAGCCTGTGTGCTTTTCTTTGTGTGGTATGATTGTGTCAAGGAAGAATGGGAACATGGACTCCTCTCTTGCCTCAGAATTAAAGATGGGATCTATCTCTCTAATAGGCCGTGGATTTCAGAGTCACTGCATGTCCAACAACTTGCATACAACAAATGGCACTGTAGCTTTGCCTGTTTTTTCTCTCCAGCTTCAAAGGCAAAAGCTCATTTTCCATCTCTGCCAAAGAATTCTTATTTGGTTTCTTGAGTTTTCTCTTTTCTTCAAACTTGTCAATATTACAGAGAGATAATTTTTAGAATAAAAGCCTTGGGAGACGCTATGAGAAAAAGTGTCTTTTTAGTAAAGAAAATACAAGTGGCAGTATCCCACAGTTTCATTTGTGTGGTTGATTTCACATGTGGATCTTTGATTGGTTCATATTGAAGAAGTGTAAGGAAGGGAAAAATTTCCAGAAACATTTATTGTGTTCTTACTGGGGCAAGTTCTTTGCATCATAGAAAAAATCTGCACAGCTCTTAAATAAAAGTATGCTTTAACTTACATAATCTACACATCAGACGTGTCTCAGAAATATAATGTCAGTGGATCATGAATTATGTGTATTGAAATAAAGTCATTCTTTAGTAAAAAAAGTAAAAAAAGATCATCTTTCAACTCCGTGTTTGCAGATGAGAAAACTGAATGCTAGGGAGAGAGAATGACTTTGTCAGGTCACACAGCTTATTGTGGCTCAATTGAAATGGAAATTCACTTTGTAGGACTCTCCAGTGCTCTTTCAGTATCAGACAGTTATATATTGAATTTTGTTTAATGGATCATAAAACATTCAAGTCCATATCAGAATCTAAGTCTCCTTAGAAAAGAAGAGCACTAGCAGGTACTTTTCCTCTTAGGAAAGATGGAATTATTCTGAACCTCTTTACCTGGTCATAGGGCAATTGAGATTTTATATAAATAGGTGTGAAATGGATGGGAGTATTTCTTACCTAAAGAATGGATTCTTTAAATCGAGGATGTTCCCAGATCTCAAGCCTGTTTGGTTCACCAGCACGTCAATGTGAACGTCATAGCTCTGTCTGTGGAGCAGAGAAAAACATATCATCTCATATGGCCAGTTAGCCATTCACACATGTCCACAGCATCTTTTCTGCACACTTACCTTTTGAGAGTGTCTGGTATCTTATATGTCCATGTTTGTGTACACGGACATTAGTCATGTTGACAGAGGCAATTGCAAGCCTTGTTTATTCATTAGATGAGTTTGATAGCTGTAATTTCTTGATGTAAAAATTACAAAGGTAATGGAATTTCTGGTTGATCAAAGCAGTTTGGGAGGGGGGCTTTACCAACATCAATGGCACAAAATGGCTTTAAGTCACAGAGAAACTTTATGGGTTTTCATTGAAGTGGGAAAATGATCCTAATCATGGAAGGACTGGCTGAGCTAAAATCTCAGACTAATGTAAAACAGTTAACAGATGTGATTGATCTTAAACTGCCCCAGAAGAAAGCTCATGCAATTACAGTGAGAAGCATTGGCTGGTAAGAATAAGTAATTTGACATATCCTCCATGACTGATCTTAAGAAACCATGCTTATGAGATTTTTATTATTCATAATCAATCAATCTATCTCCTGATTATAAAAGTATTATATATTCACTGTAGAGAAAATGAAAAATAGGGAAAACAAAAGCAAAATAAAATATTCCATAATGTTACTAGACAAAGATTCTTTCTACTAACATTGTAGAATATGCCCCTTTTATCTTTTTTTCTGTATATATTTACAGATTTGTTTAGCAAAATGATGCTTAAGTATTGCTCAATAAGTTCCTTCTTTTATTTAATATAAAAAAGTATATTTCTTGTTTGTCATAATTCTTGAAAATATAATTTTCAGTGCCTTTATGTGGATATAACATTATCTATAGTAGTTACCCATTGTTGAATATTTATATTTTCATAACATGTTCTTGCTTATAATAATAAAAATAGTTTTTTGACCAAAATGTTATAAAGAAAATTTTTATAACACATCTTAAGTATTGTATCTACAGTTATTTCCTTAGAAAAAATTCTTAGGGATAGACTCACTAGGCTAAAGTATATATACATATTTTGATTCTTGGCACTGATTGCTAAAATGTTCTCCAGAACATGCACCAAAGCATTTCATCTTCTAACTATCAAAGGGCTAATTTTATCACAGCTTTTCTAATCCTCAACATTAAATATTTGACTAGAGAATATTATAGTTTATTCCTATGGATTTCTTTTATTATTAGGCTCCTTATTTAAATTTCAGATGTAAGTGAGTGACATAAAGTCTTCCATCCCCACTCCCACCCTGCAAATAGTGGACTGCATAAGATTAAATATAATTTAAGATCCTATGAAATCAGTAATTCAAGTTATAAACTCTACTGGGGCTAAACCAAATAAGAGGGAAACATAGTCGTATGATTTTTTAAAAATTAAGATTATGTCCTTTGGTTCTATTTCATTTCATTTAGTTGACTCAGAATATTTTTAAAGTTTTTTCTTCTATGACACTTATCCAGTAGTTCACTGAATTTGTGATACTTAAAGATAGATTAGAGAGGAACTACGAAGACAATGTGCTCCATAGAAAAGGCTCAAATCTTGCTGGAATCATTGAAAAGCTAAGAGATGAGCCTGGGAAACAGATAAGGATAAGGCACATCTATACATTTTGCCCATTGAAAGACACATTTTTAAGAATAATGGCTGCTAAAGCTAATAAAGAGTTTAAAGCAGAAATCGAATACTCTGAGGCATGTGTGTGTGCGTGTATTTATGGACACATATATGAATCAGGTTTGTCACAACTAACAACTGAGTGGTTCTTGCTGTGGTTGGGAAGAATAATTGCTATATTTTTCTATAGGGTCTTCACCAGAGGTGCTTTTTCAGAATAATAGGTGTGATAACATTGTCACTTTACACTCACTTTTCACAACCCTTTTCTCATTGTTGTCCACCATCAATGCTATCTTTTCTACGGAAGGGAAAAAGAAGGAATTCTTGGCTCAGCTGGGTCAGTGAAAAGCTGAGATTAGTTGTTAATGCCCTTTAGTGTCTATGTGGCTGGGATGGAGGATGAAGTAGGTATAGTTAGGTTCACTAACTTGATAGTGATTTGCCTGGCCCAGGAAAATGTATCATCACCTAAAATTGTAGGAAGATACTGTACTATAGGGATACTGTAATGCTAATGCCAAGATACCCAGAATATCAACCACAAACCCAATAGTCAAAGTGCAATGTTTATAAAGTGCCTAATGTTGGATCATCTTCCAAAACTGTGACTACAGAAACCTAAATAAAAATTAATTCCTTTGAACTAGTAATTTAGTAATGTGCATTTTTAAAACAACACCCTAGCTCTTTGCCAGATTTATTCATTTTGACTTTATAAAGATAGAGCACGTAGCTGAAATGAGAAATACCTTAGCTCAGGATTAAATTCAAAACCATTGCTTTGTATACCAACGTTTCTTTTGCAATATCCAAGATATTCCTCGGGAATGAAGGATGTGACTTTTGGGAAAATATGATCATTCTATAGTGAGGTAGGTTTAGAGGTGATCATCAAGGAAGAGTCGGGTGGAGAGACAGAAGTGGCAGGAAGTTTGGGAAGAACTGACCCTAGCCACTGAGGATTTACTGATGGACACAGGAAGGCATGGACTCTAGAACATATTCAACCAAGGGATATAAGTTTGGCCCAAAGAAAATATAGAATGATGCACTAGAATTTAAAGAAAATATTAAATTAGTATTTTAAAAATATTTTAGTTAATTTGTTATAGTGCATTGAATTGTGTCTCCCCCGACCCCCAAATTTATGTTCAAGTCTTAACTACCAGGAACTGTGAAAGTGACCTTCTTTGGAAATAGGGTCTTGTACATGTAACCACGTTTAGATGAGATCATACTGGGTTAGCGTGGAGCCCAAATCTATGAGTGGTGTTCTTTTAGAAGAGGAGAGTACAACCAGAGAAACACACAGGGGAAAAGGTCCCATGAAATCAGAGACAGAATTTGGAGTGGTGAAGCTACAAGGAATGCCAAGAATTGCCAGATGCTATGTGAAGCTGGAAAACACCAGGCAGCTTCCTGCCTTGAGGTTTCAGAGGAAATATGGCCCTGCTGATACCTTCCTTTCAGACTTTGGTCTCCAGAACTATGCAAGAATACTTTTCTGCTGTTTTAAGACATTTGGTTTGTGTAACTTGTTTTGGAAGCTCTAAAAAGCTAGCATGAGCATTTACCAAATATATATTAAGCATTAACAAATTCACTAGTAAATTCTGGATTCCAATCACCTACTGAAAGTTAAGATATTTGTTATGTTTACCTAATTTCTGAGGTTTTGCAAAGCTGGGATGACTTGACATGACTTTACATCTTAAATAATATGGTACAATATCAGTAAGAAATACTGTATCAGCCTGTAATGGGCACATAGGTAGGAGATAGAAGAATCTAACATTTAGAATAAAGAAATATCATTTTAAAGCTCTATCATCACATTCTATTATTTCACTGTGATAACTGTGCATAACAATTTCCTCCCAAAATTCTTTCTGCTGCAACAGACCAAATATATAGCTGTTGAGAGGTTTGATTTTATATGAAGTCCATGGTAAAGCAGTTTAATGATGACCATTAGGAGTAGCACTTGAAGCTTCCAAAGCTTTAATTCTTTCATCAGCACATCTTCTAGCTTTATAAACCACAAAGCTCATTAAACTCTCTCTAAACTAAATCCCCTGGCAAGCTAGGGTATAGCGGGCCTTCATAGCAATCCAAAAATTTTAAATAGTGTTTCAAAATATTTTGGCACAGGATAAAGAGCTGAGCTGGATCCAACAATCAGTCTATATTTACTCCTCTAATGCATCCTTTTTATTTCTATTTTTTGTATATTTTATAAAATACATAATAAATGAATTTCCACATATGTATACTATACACATATCTGTCTATGCATATATAGACAGATAGAGAACTAGTTCTTAGTTTTCTACTATTATTATTACCATAGTGCCTGCACACAATTAAAAGACAAATTTAATACACTTGGGGGAAACATATAAAGTACTTTTACTCATAAGTACACATAATCAAAGAAACCTTGGAGAACATATATGTGAACTTTGGAGATATAAATTTCATACTGTTCATAAAAAGATAGGTTCTATTTTCTTGCTAGAGCAATAAAATGAATGATAGCTCCAGAATGATGGGAGGCTGTCAAAAATAAAATGCTAACAATACAATCACAAATAGTTCTGGTGGGGAAGAAAAGAACAGCCATCACCACACCAGTGTGGCTGCAGAGGGACTTCTCCCAGGAGTTCAGAGTTTAAAAGAGTATTTGACAATAAGGGTAGGCTCCTATCTAAAGCAGTACAAAAGGACAACAACTTCACTGAAAACATAGTGGAAAAAATATTGACATTCAGGAATGCTGAGGCTTGTAGAAAATGTCAAGAAAAACAAGAATTTTACAATAACAACAAGTATATGAAGAAGTACAATGAGAGTATGAAAAAAAAATAAAGGAGGGAATAAGGAACTAAGTTCCAGTGTAGGCTTACTCTGTTAATCATTATATGATGCTGTCCCTTTCAATATTTGTAAGGGCTTGGTGAGATGAAGATTATAAATGCTGCATTACAGATGATGAGCTGAGGACAGTATGATGCTATACAGATTTATTATCTTGTCCAAAGTCACTGATATATCCACAAATAAACAGAAGAGACTGAACAGAACCAGGATATAGTGGTGGTCTAACACCTGATTTCCTTTCACTACACAAGAATGCTACTCTAGTAAAACAAAGAACTTCCTCCTTCCCTTTTCTCCTTCCTCCTGCAATGTATTCCATGCCCACAATATCTTAGCTGTTTCTTTCATTGTTCCCAGACTGAGTTATTAATGTGAGAAGGACCATAAGCTCCTGGCTCATTTATTTGGTTAGTCAGTGCACAGCACTGCGGAGACTCTGTAATGTACTGAGTAGGGATACAGCACACAGCAGGACTCAGTCACTCTTCTTGGGAGGCTCACGTGTAGGCAAATAACAGTGATATGTAGCAGGGCTATGACAAAGACGAGGAAGGCTGCAGAACTCTGGGGGTCATATGGCAAGTATGTGAGGTAATGGTTTGCTTCATTCTTACCTATTAGTGGGAATGAAGGAGAGGAGGGTAGAAAACACACTGATGGAACCTAGGATATGTCAGAAAAATGTAATGGATGGAAGAAGATGATATAAATTCACTCAATAATATCCTAAGATACTTCTTTTAAAAATATAAATATTTAAAGGCAAAGGATTATTTATATTGGTTTGCAAAAAAGGCAAAGTCCCAAACTCCAGGCAGATGTTGGCTACTGCTCCTTAGCATTTTTATTTAGAACTAGTAATTAAACAGATGGTTTAGGGGGTTTAGACTGAAAGTAGTAACTTCCAGGATGATCATGGCATAAGTCAGCATTTTCCACTCTTCTTCTTGGAAGCCATCCAAAAACATGGAGAATAAAGTTACTGCAGACCACAGACCTCCCATAAAAACAGGAGAAAGATATAATCTGAAGTCTCCAACATATGTGTAAGGACTGTAAGAATAGTTAGGATTGGTTATAAACCATATGGAAAAGTGAACAAAGAAGTGCAAACAGTGACAAGAGATCCCAGGGATGGTACATCTCAGAAAGTGCTCACACAAGTACACTGCCTGAAATTGAGCAGCATTTTGTGAAAGCAAAAGTATATTCTTTGCTTGTACCATCTTGCTATGAGCAAGACTTTGGGCCAATATGCTCCTGGAACTGGAGCATTGTGCAATACCTAAAACACACAAGAGAAGCCATTTTTGCAGGAAGTAGCATGACTCTGTGGCAGGACACATGGGAGAGTTTGAGTTGAGAAAAACAGGACAACATGAAGACTGTCACATGTCTCTGCCACAGGAACTTGTTTATGAAAACACAGTGTAAAAGAGTCCCATTCTATGATGATGAACCATAGTAACATCAAAACAAAAAGGAGAGAAGATTTATTATCAGAAAAAAGGTTTTAAAAGGGAGTAACTGAGATAGTTAACATTTACTGTTAACTTGATGGGTTTGTAAAACAACTAGGGGATTAGACCTGGGTGTGGCTGGGTGGGTCAGGGAGGTAAGGCCTTGGGGACAATATCTGTCCCTGGCCCTTTCCCCTCTGGTGCTCTTTCCTGGACTCTATTCTTCCTGGTTGCTGTGAAGTGAGCGCCTTTGCTCACTATGCCCTTCCTCCATGAAGTTAGTACCTTCTGATCATGAGTCAAACGAAGCCTCTTTTCCTTTCAGTTGCAGGCGTCAGGTTGTTTTGGGGGTTTTTTTGTTTGTTTGTTTTCGGTACCGGGGGATGGAACTTGGGTCCTTGCACTTGTGAGGCAGGCAGCGGAACCACTGAGCTAAATCCCTGGTCCCAAAGGTGTCAGGTGTTTTGATGCAGCAATGGGAAAGCTGATCAGTATGTAGTAAAATTTACATACAGAGGAAAAGCATATATCAGATAAACAATGCCATGGCATAGAAAAAAAATCTGTGGAGGATGCAGTAACTTTTAACAAAAGAAGACCATGATGCAGAGTAGGAAATATTTATTGAGGGAAAGACAGCGTCTAAGAGAGAGACAGAAGGGGACCCAGAAAGTGGGTTGTCCATGAGCCTACTTCTCAAAGAAATTTTATAGAGCAAAATCATGAGGTGGGTACAAAATCATCAGGTGGGCATGAGGTGGGACAAAACTAGGGTCAACCAATAAGATTACAAGTTAGTTGCTTAGGTAATATTGATCCAGTGAGGAAGCAAGTCACATAGCAAGTGTGCATGGAAAGAACAAGGACCTTTCCTGGAAGGGATGGGTTAAGGTCCAGGTCCCCCACCCAGGTGATCCATGTCTATTTAGAATACCAATCATTGTTGTTTATCCCTGGGGAAGTAGGTGTAGTCATTTCATCTTTGTCTTGAGGCCTGGCCTTCAATGAATGTGCCTTCACCCACAGTTGTGATGTGTTCTCATCTTCTGCACTGACTTCTTTGAGGACCTTGCCCTGTCTGACTGCTTATAATATTTTTACCTAACTCAGCTGTCTATAACACAAGGGCTCTGAAAGTACTTTTTTACTGCACTACAAATTGGATTTACTATACTAAATTAGGGGGAGAGTTGTATGGCTAGACAGATGTATGGTAAGGACATCTAGGAAGCATACATGGGTTTAAAGCCTTGATAATTTGATTCTCTGGCAAGTGTTCCCATGAGCTGCTGGATTTCCTTCCTTCCCTGTGGTCAGGTGGACAGCACTCCCCTTGAGTTAGCCCAAGCCCGGCTTCATCACTGCACTCAATGCAAGGGGAAAATTGGCAATGTAGGCCTTGTAGCTGGGGCACCTGTACCAACTCAGCCAGGTCTTTGCAAAGCTTGTTGTCCACTCATAGGTGCTGGAGTCAGAGGAGGCTGGCAGCTTCCTGTAGCTCCCACCCCTGCCTGCACTGTGAACAGAAAGGAAATTGTCTATGCTTCCCTCTTACCTTTCATTGGCTACCAACAGCACTTTCCCTGAGAGAGTCTCTCCTTCCTTGGCAAAGACAGGAGTCTGAAGAAGGCACCGCACCTGATACCAGTGAGTCAGTGGCTCAGTGGGGGCCGTTGACAGCCAGACTGTTACCCTGTGGGGCAAGAAAAGAGTTAAAAGCCAATTACCTGGAAGATTCTCATTAATGAGTTAGACTGGGGACTGAGACCAATAAGGAGTTTTATTCTTTTTGACTCATGGAACACTTTTAAGATAAAAATGGTTCATTTTGTGGAGCAATTGCCATGTATTGGTACAGAAGTAAAATAAGGCACAACATCCAATTAAATCTACACAAACCAGGGAGATTAAATGATTCGCCCAACACCACACAAGAGACACCTGGGGGATGGAGGCATCAAACTCAGAGACTCAGCCACTGTGTCGACTTTCACTTTTGAACCAAAGCTCATCAGGGTCCAATAAGGAAAAGAGTTAAACTAGGAACTGCCTTGTTTCAAGTGTGGCAAGGAAGAAGTCCGAAGTCTGGACTGGACTCTTACTGACCTGTGGGCCAAGTGGGCTTCTTGGAAGCAAGGAGAACTACTGGAGCACATGGACTCTCCATCCTTCCAGCTCAGCCACCGTGGGGTGTGTGTGTGTGTGTGTGTGTGTGTGTGTGTGTGTGTGTGTGTGTGTGT